AAGATCACACCAAAGTTGGATGTTGTTAATTACACAAGCTTTCCACTAGATGTTGTTGTCCTAAGCAGTGACGCGGAGAAAAATGCTCGAAAGATTTATTTGATTGATAGAGGTCCGCATGGTCAGATGATGAGTCTTAATAATCACCGAAATGACAGTTGCTGTGGAAGAAAAATAGTATTCTCTTTTTATGCTCTTAATGTTTCTGAACCAGGTGAGAATACAAAAGAAGATAACACTCGCAAAGCGATTGTTTCTGCTCGAACGCCATGCTAGTGGTTGTAAAGCTAATTCATGAAGTCGTCTTTTAGAACAGATAAGGGAAAGTAACCTTTTTTAGACGAGTAATGGTTTCATGAATAAGAAAGCAATATCTAATGATTGATGTATTTCGGCCTGTACCGTAGTAATGAATTTCATTTTCCAGGCGGTAATATAACCTTTGGATGCGAACCTGGCTGGTACAGAGCTGGTATTTCGTGCTTTCTGTTCTATAAAACATCCACCTTAAAGTGGAGTGATGCACGGACGTTTTGCCACCGATCCAACGCTGACTTTGCCTATCTCAATGACGCGTCCACGATGGACGCCATAGCCAATAGGAGGAGAGAACTAAAATTTGACACTCACGGTGGAATTTTTCTTGGATTGACTGTTCAAAGCACTGATTGGCTCTGGATAGATGGACAGATGGTTTCTAACACGAATAATCTGTGGGGCCCGGGAGAACCGAGTGGAGATGGAAAATGTGGAACTTTCTTAAATGCTATAGGATGGTCTTCAGACTGGGTTGGTTATGGATGGCGATGGAACGATCAACCGTGCAATAGTTTGAAAGGGTACATCTGTGAACAGCCACTTGGTATGATGACCAGCGATACGTTTTAAAATTCAAAATCGATCTAATAAATAGTATTTCAGTTGCCCAAATAAAAACGTCTTCATGGTAATAATCTTTGGTTGATTCTAGGGTAACACTTCGAAAAGTTCATTTCTTAAATGCAGTTTGATATAGATTTTGAGTTGTCTTCGCGTTGATTTCGAGTATGGTATTCCATTCTCAGATAATATTCAAGAGCCTCGGGTTGTGCAAGTTGATGAGATATCCGTCCTTGGATAAGAAATTAGAGATTAGCAAGAAATAATTACATGTAGACAGAATGAGTTCTAGGGTAGAGCATACTTTGCCTGATTGCTCTGTTTCCAAAATGCTTTACCGACTATACTAAACGTATTAAATACAATTATTGTTTGACAATCATGAGAAAAAAGTTTAATAATCGTTATTTTATTTCTTTTAGATGTACCTATGCCAGTGGCAATTTTTACTCTGAGGGGTGCAAATGGAACGGTGGACTTGAGTCGAAATGGAGCCACTAAAGCTAAGTCTAATAACATTACGTTTGAGCCTGGTCCTTGTGGAAATCCAAATGGCTCCTTCTTCTTTAGTGGTATGAATGACAGTTTCGTGCACCTTGAAAATAACGGAGAACTTGACACAAGGCTCTCTACTAGTATTCTTGCTTGGGTGTACCTCCAAAACTCCACTAGTTTTATTTACAAATATGAAACAGTTTATAATTTTTCCACTTGCTCGCTGATAGTAGTTCCTCAATCACTTGGTGTTCAAGTTACATACATAGATAGGAAAACTTTAAAGGAATATTCTCTCCACAAGAAAAACATTTTGAACTCAGACAAATGGAACTTTATTGGAACAACATATGATTACCACACAGGGATTGCAACCATTTTTGTCAATAATAGCGTAGTCACCCAAAAAGTTCTCAAAGTAAAAATGGAACTAGGTACTGCTTCAGAAGTGCTGATTGGAGGTTCGACCAGATCGAATAAGTTCTTTCGTGGCAGGATATCCTGTTTACAGGTGTACGATCAGGCATTATCTGTGGACCAAATAATCAAAGTCAAGTCAAGGTGTAATCAAACTGGTGAGTTGTTGAATACTTCTAC